GTTACGTACCTACTGAATACTGATATGCATAATACTATAATAAATTAATGCATGGTATTGTAACAATAACAATATCACATTTTATTATCATTAATAATCGTAATTAGTTTGTTTTTAAATTTTACCAAATTAAAATACCACGATAAAAAATGAATAAAAACAATACGCATCTCAAAACACGGGATAACACACGTATTATAAAAACAATGCATAAAATGCATAAAAGACTGTATAATAATAATTGTATTATGTGTGTGTACTGTGTTTTTATGAAAGCTGTTTAGCAAGAAATAATAATATTCGATCCATATTAGAAATTATTTCAGTATTGTCAGTAATGTTACAGTAATTGTACAGATTGTTCAATGGGTGAAGAGTTACTGTTTCATTTATCCGGGGAAGTAAAATTTTAAAATTTTAATGAGTTTAAAAATCCTATACGTTTTATAGACCTACATTATCAGGCACACGCGGAAGTTGTCGGTTTTAAAATATTATCAAGTGATGATGAAAATTGATTTTCTTATTTACTGAACGTTATATCTATGGCGTATATTGATTTTTTTGTCACGTATTTCATTTTATTGTTGTCTACGTCTTACTAGCGTACAAAATAGCATATTTTACGTTCACAGCAATACGTTTTACTCTGTAATTTATAAAATTAGAGTGAATAAAATTAACCTCTAATAAAATTTAAAGACAAGAATATTATCTATGGTATCGCGGAGTATTTTTATTGATGTTGTTAATCTTATGTAAGTTATGACCATTTTTAAACTATTGTTTTTGTATATTTTAAAACGATCATAAYTTACTTAAAAATAATAACATCAATAAAATCCTCCGAGATGTCCAAGATAACATTCTTGCCTTTATAAAATGTATAGGAGATATTTTAGAAATTACAGGGTAAAACGTATTATTTTKAATCTAGAATTTGCCATGTTGTACGTTTTTAAGACGAAGAAAACAAAATATGCCCGTCTGGCGTCTTCTTAATATAAGCACTATTACCTATTATTGATTAACGAGTAACGATGATTATTGAGAGTTTGATAATTATGATTTGAGACTTCAATAATGTTTGAATCTGATGATTYTTACGTAGAACTTGGACCATATTACCTGCAATTAATAATAATGAATAGTACTTCATACTCATGCATGTAACATGTATTATTCACAGGTTTGAAGTTACAGCTGTATGTATAATTAGTAATAATATATTCTATCGTAGAGACGTTGACTATATTAGTATTTGCATGAACTTTAAACRTAACAACTTTCTGTTCGTAAACGTATATAAACAGTCAATAACAGATATCATACCTAATATGCCGACATGCAGGCAGTGACTGCATAACAGCGTAATTAATAATATAATAATGGTCTTTGCGTTACAAGTCAATCATCAGTATCTTTTTATTATTATAGAAGGAAATTGTTCACCGATAACTMTGACTTAAATTTTTTGTAATCCTAGGGGGTCTATATCCTGCAACATGAAAATATTGAACTATGCATGCCAAAAGTGTCAAYTATACTTTGYAGGTATATTTTTCYCGACATTGAATACATATTTTTTTCGGTGGACTGTGTCATTAGATTTCCGATTTAATAGTGTATACAAATATATGAAATTGCATTAAAATATACCTAGTTGAAAAACAAWATTGTTTAGAATTAATAATTTAAATATTATGTAATTTCATTTAGTGTACATCAAAGACCAAAGTGCTTAAAAAGTTAAAACAAAATCGCCGGTTAAAAATAAAGACATGCGTCTTCTTTTTTATTTTTTGAAACCATAAGTGCCAAACGACATAAGTTACACATTGTATATTATGCAAAACACTKCAAGAGCTGTAAAATTTTTAGTCCTAAGAATTAATAATCAGATTGTAGTTTAGCCTCGTGTCCCGCAAACCAGAACAAAAAAAATACATAGGGTATTGCGTGTACCTATTATATATAAGTAACTGAGTTATGGCGTGTGAATGAAGACTGAACGTACTATGTTTTTGTAGACGCTAAATATATTATATACATTACCTGCAGTAAAGACGATGTGTCTG